CCGAATAATATTGAACGCTAATAATTATAAAAATTGTATGTGAAAAAATAGGATAACTAATTTAAGCGCAGGATGTGTTATCATGTCACTACCACACGCATGTCCTAACATATCTGAGTCAACGTCTGTGTTAAAAGTTTCTTAATTAATTATTATTAATTAATTAATTACTACCAATCAATTATTATAAATTAATTAATTACCATCAATCAATCAATTATTATTAATTAATTAATTACTATAAATAAATTATTATTAATTAATTAATTACTATTAGTGAATTAATATTAATTTATTAGTTACTATTAATTATTATTAATTAATTTATTATTAATAATCAATCATTATTAATTAATTATATAATTAATTTATTATTCAATTAATTTAATTTTTTTATCGCAAAAACTAGTACAAGAGTAGAATTTCACTTGACAAGTGCTTTCGAAAAAAAGAAAAGAAAAAAAGTCGACCAATACAGTCATCGCAGGTCTCATTCGCCTTTCATACTTAGAAATATAATAAATTGTATAGAAATTATTTTCAATTCTATAATCGTGCATTGTCATTAGAATTAGGGTGGTTCAAATGACAAAGAAAATTTACACTCATCCAAAAAAAAATTTCTAATTACTTAAACATTTTATTTTTCCCAATTTTCCTATTTTGTACAAGACTACTTTTTTGAAATTTAGAGAAGGAATATTTTTTTAAAGTCAAAACAAAAATTTTCAATTATAAACTTGAACCACCTTAATAAAAAGTATCACGCTTAAGGATAGAATATAATTTTACCCTAAAGATAAAAAAAAAATAATTAATGTCTCATAGAGAAAAAAAAATCTATTTGCTCGTAGAAAAGAAAAAGTATCTTAAACATCGAGCGAAAAAAAAAACGAAGACACAACACTTTATTTTTTTTTCCTTTTTTTTTGGGAAAATTCTTTTCTTTTTTCACAAAGTACAAAATAATGCGAAAACGGCCCAAACAAACAAACAAAAAATGGTATATTCAATGATGAAAAATACCATTTGTACCATAAATTTTTTTCAGTTCGAAAAAAATTCTTTTACAAAATTTCTTAGAAATTTTTCTTTTTCAAACACAAGTTTCAAACAACTCACAGGAATTTTTAAGCATATTTTCAAAAACACTGATAAATTGAAGAAGAAATTGAACCAAAAGTAGATTTTTTTTTTCCTATTTTTCTTCCGGGCAAATAATTTTATCTATAGTGAAAAATAAATCATTCGAAATATTTATAAAAAAAAAATTTCAAATTCGATAAAAGTTTTTATAATAAATAATAAAAATAATTTATAATAAATATTATATAATTTATATAATATTATATATTAATAATTATTATTATATTATTATTATTATATATTTATATATTATATAATTTTTTATTTCTCCAAAATGTTTAATTTTCGTTTATTTCTCCAAACAATAAAAATTATTTAAATCATCACTCTTTGGATCAATATTCTTCTTTAATTTCCACGAGAAAAATATGTATATTCATCGTTAGCATGAAAAATAAAATTTCAATACTTTCCATAAATATTCATATTTCTCCAAAACAAATTACTGATTTTACGAAAACAACAAAAAATATATTAGAAACAATATTTTTATCTTTGTTATAATAAAGACTTTAAAGAAAGAAAAAATAGGGCACAAATGGTCCAGACGAAATAAAATTTATTGGCCCAAATGCTTGAATATTACCTAAATATATATAAATATACATATATAAATATATTATATTGATATTAAATATATTTATTGAAATATTGAAAAGTAAAAAGATTCTAAACAGTTTTAAAAAGTTATATTAATATCAATTTTGCGTTTTTATTTTTTTCTTTTTTTTTTTTTTTGAAAACGAAAAGGTCTAAATTGTAAAAAATTTTCTTCTTTAATCATCGTATATAAAAATATAGCACACTGCTATTTACTAATCATCGAAAAAAAAGTCATTTTTTTTGCTCAAATTTCCATAATTATATAGTCAAATATTTCTCCATATATTCAAATCAGACTCTCAGCTTTGCTTTTCCACTAAATTAATATAAGAAACAAAAGAAAAAAAGACTCAAAATGTCCAAATTTAATCGAAAGTCGAATCTAAGGGTCTGTTTGCAATTCATTTACTGCCATAAGTGACAATTTATTTTGAAAGTGTAAGAAAAAAAAACAGCTCGTTGCAAATTGCACAATCTAAATTTTAATTCTCAAAAATTATCTCATCAGAGAATCGCAGAGAAAAAAAAAAGAAATTTCAATCGAAATAAATTTTTAACAAAATTTCTTTAGAGAATTTTTACAAAATTCGTTTCAATTATTAATTAATTGATTTATAATAAATAAAATAAAACTTATAAATTTATGAAACAATTGTTTAATTAATTTATTAGTTGTTTTATTAATTTATTAATTGTTTTATTAATTTATAAATTGTTTTATTAATTTATTTTATGAATTTATTAATTGTTTTAACAAAATATTGTTATAATAATAATCGTAATAATAAAAATAATAATAATAAACTACAATTACATTAAATTGCAACGAGCTAAATATTATTGTGCCGAAAGAAGGCATTCAACGAAAACAGATTCTCATATTATTGCCGTAATTAAAAATTTAACGTTAAAAAAATGGTAATTAACAGAAATAATGTTATAAACTAGTTTCTAAATAACCGCCCTGATAAAATATGCCTCACGATTAATAAAAAAAAAAAAAAACGTTATTGGGACATCAAGCCAATTGTCGTGTCTTTTGAATGAGTCTTATAGATTGTAGAGAAACAATCGGCGAGATGTCTCATTAAATTATAATACTGTAAAACAATGATGAAACTTTCTACATAACAGGTGTATATCTATAAAAATGATGAATAAACTTGATTTTTGTAAAAAAAAAAAATAAAATAATACCAAAAATTTACTTTTTGTAATTCCCTATAAAATAATATATTTTTGCATCCTTGCACTTTTGAAAATATTTTCAAAAGGTTGACACAAAAATTTGATTTCGTTTTTTCCCGACTGCGACTTTCCCCTAATTTTCAGGTTGAATTTTAACTGTTTTCCTGATCTAAATTGTAACTATTTCGTAATTAAATTATTTTATATAAAATTTAGAACCTTTAATGTTTTTTACGCTAACGAACATGCGAATTAATTTAATTGTCACTCTTTATAAAATCCAAATCAATTATTTATTTACTTATTTCATTATATCAATTATTTATTTACTTATTTTATTATATCAATTATTAAATTAAAATTCTTTGAGATTTCAATTTTTCCTTTAAATCTAATAAAATTCTTTAAAAAAAAATTGTACCTATTATTTTTAGAAAAATTTCACAAAATTTCAATTAATTTGATAATTTTTTAAAATGATCAATTATTTTCTCACTTATTTTTGTATTTAAATAATTCAAATCCCGTGAAGAATTTTTTGATAAGAATTGATTTGAAAAAGAATTTTCATTTATAATTTTTGAAAATATTTGAAGAATTGCAGTTCTAATTTCAATTAAATTTCAAAATCAAATCGCCGCAACCTAATATTTTAATGTTTATTTAAAAAAATTATTAATTACTTTGAAAAATTTTTTTAAAAAATTGACCTTTGGAAAAATTGCAATTGTAAATTTTAAAAATATTTAAATTTCAAAAGGTTTTACATTGAAAGTATTTTGAAATTTTAATTTCTACTGGAAAAATAAATAGCAATAAATATTCAAATATTCATCTCCACTTGTTTTCAAATATTTATTAAACAAAAATTAAAGAAATTTGAAAAAATTTTACTTAAAAATTCTGAAGAAATTAGGTTTCTAAAAATTCGTAATTAACATTTCTTGAAAATAGTTGAATTCCCGAAAATAATTTTTGAAAAATTGAAAAAATAGGAAATTTTCTCAAATTTCATTAAAATAAATTTTTATACTTCAAAGAATTTTATTTCTTCACTTAAAAAAATTATTTTCAAATATTATTGTATTTTTTGAAGAATAGTAACTAAAAATTTGGAAAATAATGAAATTTTACATAAATTTTTGTATTTAAAAAATTCAATTATTGCTGAATTCTAATATAAGAATTGATTAAATTTTGAAAAATAATTTAATATTAGAAGTGTTATAACAGGAATTGAAATCTTTTTAACATTTTAATTGCCGTAAAAAGTAAAAGAATATTTAAATGTTTATTTTAAAAAATTATTAATTATTTAAAATAAATGTAATTATTTACAGAAATAGGAAAAACTTGAGGTATTTTTTTTAAAATTTATCACGATTTACAAGTTTTTAAATTGAAAAATTATGTCAAGCGAGAAATTAAGGTTTTCATGAATTTTTCCAAAATATTTTTCAACATACAAAAATATAAATTTTGTAGTAATTCTAGAATTAACTTAGGTATTAAAAAATTGTCCAGTGTATTCTTTAGCCTAAAATTATCGAAAAAATTATTTTCTACTTTTCGGTTTGGGAACCTAAATAAATAAATAAAAATATAAATAAATAAAAATATTTTCAGTTACTCTTTAAATTTAAATTAGTAAAAATATTTACTATTTTGAATTATTAATTGATATTTTGCTTTTGAATTGGTGAATTTTACTAATAATGATTAATTTCTACTAATAATGAGTAATTTCCACTAATTTATTAGTAATATTTACTAAATCAAACGCAAAAAGTCAGTCACTAATTGAAATTAATAAACACTTTTACTAATTCAAATTTAGAGATTATAAAAAAATTTATTAGTCAATTTCTTTGATTTCAAAAAAATTTCCTTTTGTTTAAAAAGTTTTTTCCTTTTTTGGTTTTTTTGTTTACAATTACAAGTTTTCTGCATAGAATAAACATAGAATAAGAACGTAAGAAGCAGATCAAAAGAATAATTTCTTTTTCAAAATCAAAGAAAAATTTTCCTTTGGGTGAAAAATTGGAAAGAAACAACAAAACTTCTAAGTGAAAAATAGGAATATTTTTGATTTTAATTCGTTTTTCAAATTTATACAGCAAAGAAGGAACATAATTTAGGCACTAATTAACTTTCGTTAATTCAGACACTTGTCTCCTGTGATTCAATAGATTCTACATCAAAAATATCGTTATCACTTTTATCATCAATTTCACTAATTTCACAGTCATCAGTATTTTCAGTATCATTTAAAATTGCACTTTCTGAATCCAAATTATTTCGTTTCTCCCTTCTTAATTTTTGAATTTCTTTCCTAACTGCCATTGCACCTAGAATACAACATTCAAAAAAATAAAGAAAATTAAAAAAATAAAATAATTTAAAAAAAAAGAAAAAATAATAAATAAAGCAACACATGAAATAAATAAGTAAATGAAATATATAAAATATACAAAAATAAAATAAATAAACAAAGTAAATAAAAGAATAAAAAAAATAAATTAAATAAAACAAATAAAAAATAAATATATAGAAATGATGAAAGTAAATAATTAAAATAAATGAATATGAATTCGGTTAACAAAATAATTAACAGCTTTTGATGAAAATTGAAAAAAAGGAACAAATGAAAAATAGAAGATTAAAAAATTAATTCGTACATAACAATGATTGCATTATTTCTTCTTTCTTAGGTGTTTTCTCCTCAGTATCAACTTTATCATCTTCAATGTACGATTGAATGCCAAGTTTAGCTTCCTTCGCTTTTCTCATTCTTTTCAATTTCTTTTTTACAGACATAACACCTACAAAATAAAATAAATTCAACATTATATTGAATTATTAACAAATATTGACACTTTTTTTCAACAAATAATTTAAGCTAACAAAGACATTATTAATATTCAAATTTAATTAAAATATTTTACTTTTTATTATTTTACCCTTATTTTTATTTTACGTAGGCAAAAAATTTCATTAATTCATTCAGAATTTTATATCAATCGTAATTTAATACATTGAGTAATAATTTCGAATGAGAAAATAAATTTAAAAAACTTACAAGTGACAGTTTTCAAAAGTTCAGCTTTTTTCCTTCTTTGTACATTCGGTTGCCTTCAAGAAAATGTCAAATTAATACAAAATTCAAAAAAGGAATGAAAAAGTAAAGAATTTAAAAGAAAATTACTTTTTTAATAAGGCCTTCTGTTCCTTTATTCTATTTACAAAGTCAATTGATTCTTTTGACAGTGGAGGGAAAAAATAGGCATCAAAACCTTCGAATAGTTTCAACCACACCTGAAAAAAAGAAAAAATTACAAATCCAGAAATTTTGTTTTTTTTCAAAATTATTAATTAAAGTATAATTATTATTTTATAATTAATTACAATTCTTCCACCTTGGATAATTATTTTATAATTCTAATTACAATTTTAATTGTAATTACGTTTTAATTTTTTAAACTTTTTTTACTAATTGTACTTTTTGAGGAAAAATCTTTTCTTCGAAAATTTTCCAATTATTTCTTATCAAACTTTTTATTAAATTATTAACTCTCCGTTAGACTCATTCACTACTGAAACTGACAGTTTCTTAATTGGTATTAATTTTAAATTAAATTAAAATAATAATTACTAAACGTCTGGGAATTTTTATGCAAGTAACGAAGAGTTAACAGAAATAGACTATATTTTTAGTAAAAAAAAAAAAAGCAGAAAAATATCTCTCACCGAATTTAAACACTCAGAAAAATACCACATCCATATTAGAAATTTTTCCGTCGGATTTTTATTATTGCTTCCCAATAAAATATATTTTGGTACAAAATATATGTAAAGATAACTCCTGTAAAAGAAAATTATTTAGTAAATATTAAATTTAAATTTAAAATAATTTTTAATTTTCTCTATATTAAATATTTCGAAAAAAAATAAAAAGAAATTAAATTACTTACCAGGTGAGACAATGACAAATGAATAACATTTTCATAAATATTAAGTGTATTTGCCTATTCCAAAGGCATAAAATGAGACGACACACTGCTAAAATAGTTGCATCTAGAATTTTTAAAAATAAGAGAAGAAACACTGCTGGATCGAGTCTAAAATAATAATTAATTTTTGAAATTGTTAATTAACGCAAAATACTGAAATTCTCTTTTTAAATTTATTTCTTATTTTCTTTATAAACACTAAATTATAAACAATCAATATTACTGAATTTGAACTACTTTTTTACTTTTTATTTATTTATTTTTTGGTACAAAATAATTCTCAATTTGTTTAAAAATTTTTTTTAATTCAACAATTTAATAACTGTTTATTTTTTACCAAATTTAATATTAACTGTTAATTAAAATTTAACTAAATTAAAAAATAAAAAAAAAATTATTTAAAAATTTAGGAATTACATTAAATATTAAAATAATCTAAACTATTTATACAATTTTTCCAAAAAAATTAATTAATTTAAATAAAATAATAAATAAAATTAATTTATTAATTAAATTTACAATTTTACATAATAGAAATATTTACCTTTCTGAATAAGGATGAAAGACAAAAAAAGCGAATAATAATGTACTGCATCCTTTCATCCATGATCCAAAAATAAAAATATTTACTCCAGTTTGATGAATATAAAAACTTTTATACAAGAAAGCAATAAATTTGTTAATATTCGGAAGAGTTGAATATTTCAACGATTGAAAAAAGATGAAGAATAAATAATTTACAGTTATAATACAAAATATACAGTCCCATATTGTATTAATAATTCGGTTTCTTTGTATCAAAGGAAAACACTTGTGGCGCAGTAATTTCTGTAAAAAAAATCATAAATACAGAATTAAAGATATAGTTTCTATTATTCAATTTTTACAGTTAACAATTACAATTACACTTATAATTAACAATTCTGTTACAATTACAATTATACTTATAATTAACAATTATATAATTATAATTAATTAGGAAAAAAATTTATAATTTATACTTGCATAATTATAATTTATTTCTATATTTATTAAATTACACCCTGCAAAAAGTTTTTGTTAATTTAAAAAAATCAGTTTTTAAGATTCGTTTATTTATTTCATTTAAAATAAATGTTTCTTTCAAAACAAAAAGAGGTTTTTTGGCTCAAAGAAAATTTCTTTAATTTAAACAATTTTTCCTTGATTTAAACAAATTTTTCGAATAAAAAAAATTTGTCCTTTCAATCAAAAACAATTATCACTGATACAGATAGTGAAAGAAATAATTTTTTAATTCAAAAATTTCTTTAAAACAAATAGTTTTTGAATCAACTAAATTGTTTTTCAATAAACGAAATTTTTCTTAAATCAAAGAGAAATTAATTTTCAGAATTTCTAAATAAAATTTTTCAAATTCCATTAATTTCTGTTTAATAAATATTTTAATCCTTATTAAAAATTTATTTATTCACCAGAAATTTAATGTTAAAAATACTTTCAATGTGAAACCTTTTGAAATTTAATTATTTCTAAAAATTACAACTGCAATTTTTCTAAAAGTCAATTATTGTTTAGAATTTTCGAATAATTTTTAAAGGAATATAATACATTAATAATTTTTTAAAATAAACATTAAAATATTCGGTTACGGCGATTTGATTTTGAAATTTAATTGAAATTAAAACTGCAATTCAATATTTTCTAAAATTATAAATGAAATTCTTTTTCAAATCAATTCTTATCAAAAAGTTCTAGAATTTAATTATTTAAATACAAAAATAAGTGAGAAAATAATTGATTATTTCTAATTATCAAATTAATTGAAATTTTGTGAAATTTTGTGAAATTTTGTGAAATTTTGCTAAAAATAATATAATTTATTTAAAAATTTCATTAGATTTAGAGAAAAATAGAAAACTTAAAGAATTTTAATTTAATAATTGGTAAATAAATAATAAAAAAATTTGTATGAGAATTCAATAATTTAAATACAAAAATAAGTGAGAAAACAATTGTATATTTTTAAAAATTGCAACTGTAACTCTATTTATGGATTTTTTTTAATTTGATAAAAAAATACATAAACTATTTAAGATTTTCGATAATTTGATATTTTTTTAACCCTTTGAAAAAAATTTCCTTACTTATTTTCCCTGTTCTGCGTGAAAATCCTGTTATTGTAAAAATTCTGGGAAAAAAAAATTTTGGGATTAATGTTTTAATTTCACTAAAACACTAATCATTCTATTTAAAAATTAATTATCAAACTTTTGACATGACAATTTGAGCCTTAAATCAATTTCGAATCAAAAAGCCCTAATTTAACGTAAGGACAGAATATCTCGATTATTATTATTATATAATTGAATATTTATTAAATTATTATAACGTATTGTTCTATAAATTCAAAATTGTAACTATTCCACAACTATGAAAAATGAATTCATTACATAAAAATTAAAAGAAAATTAAAATAATTAAAAATGTTAATTAAATAATTAAAATACAATTATGCAATTATAATTTTTAATCATAAATTCAAAAATTGTAATTACTCCAAATTAGCAAAAACAACTTTTAGAAAATGTTTATACTTACATTGAACCATTTCTTATAGATTAAGAACAACAATGACCAAAACAATAGCAAATATCCAACAAATGCATCGCTCTCATTGCGTATAAATTTCTTTTTCATTAAATCGTCAATTACTTCATTGTTTTTAAAATCAGCTCCTACTTTTCTATGATCTAAAAATGTACTAATTTGTAAAGTCCAACTATTAATAGCCTCCTCAAATAACATTTCGCATTAATTGCTCAATGTCCGTTTCCATTTGCTAAAAGAAAAAAAAAAGATTAAACTTTCAGTAAAACTGTAAACAAAATATTGATAGTAAAACAAATTACAATTTCTAAAATTATTTTCTCATAAACATGAGAAAAAAAGAGGTTAGGTTAGTTAAATTTAACTTTCATTACTTACCTATCAAAGTTTTCTTACTTTCATTGTCACTTTCTGATTGATTAACACTTCAGCAGAATCAGCACAACTTTCATAATATTTACACATATTTCTAACACACAAACTTTTATAAATAAACTTATAATTTCTCGGGGGGAATTAAAATACGTCCACACTTAGACACGACTGGTTATCAGTTCACAGGGTTTCACACGTGAATTACTCGGTCGATAGGGAAGAAAATTTATTTTTCAAAAAGTTTATACAAGAAAAATCATAATTTTTTATTTTTGAAATTAAACCCAAATTTTTTCGTACAGTTTTTCTCGAGGGTAAATTTTGTAAGTAATTGTAAAAATTACAAATTTTGTTTTGCAAAAAAGAGAAAAATTTGTTTATAAATTTTTAAACAATAATTATTTTTTTTTTAGTTAACAAAGTGCAAGGATGAAAAATAGAGTATAGTTTTCCTGGAGGACAATAAAAAGTGATGAAATTAGTCATCATTTAATTATTATTGTTCCCTTTGTTTCATTTTGACTGGATTCTTTCGAGTGTTTCAACGCGAATAATACAACGCAAATGTGAGTCGTCGACCTCAAATGCGAAAGCCTTTTAAATCCTTTTTAGCTATCTCGACATTCGAAACCGTTTTCCAAGTTCCCAGACGCCCGCAACTCTCTTTATCAACTATACTTATATTCGGAGAAAAAAAATTTCTATAGATAATAAAAAAAAGAGTCGAAAAATTAGAATATAATACATCAGAAATTTATTGACTTTTTCCTAATATTCCGAGGAATATTTTCAATAATTTACTTGTGAAATTAATAATTTTAATTTTAACGAACTTTTAATTTAGTGAATATTTATTTAGCTGATTTTATTAAATGATATATTTAACATTTTTTATTATTTTTTTTAAATTAAACTTCTTTTTTCTAAAATTGAAAAATTTAGTACCTATATTTTTGGTCGAAACAAAACAAAAATTCGTAAGTTTTGTTGCATTTTGTTGCAAAGTTGAATTTTCAATTTTCATTATGATTATTCGAAAAAAAGCAAACAGAAATCAGTATTTTGATACCAAATATTTTTATCAGAAACAAAAATCTAAATTGAGCTTTGATTCTAAATTTGGAATCAAAATTAACACGGAATTAACTATTTTGATTCATTGTCTTAATCAGAACAAAGTTGACTAATGATTCTAATTTTGGAATCAAAACTTTAAGGAAATTAAAAATTTTTATTTCCTATACTTTTTTCGAAAAAAAACAAAATCGATTTTTGATTCCAATTTTGGAATCAAAACATAAACAAAATTCATTACTTTGATTCAATTATTTGAATCAAATCAAAACAAAACAAAAGTTATTTTTAATTTTCGAATCAAAACAAACAAAATTCACATACAAATGTCTGAATTAAAACAAAACAAAATTCTAATTTTTGAATTAAAATAAACAGAATACACTTTTATTGCAAATATCTGAATCAAAACAAAACAACATTGACTTTTGATTCTAATTTTAGAATCAAAACATCAACGGAATTTACTATTTTTATCCAAAACAAAACAAAATTTATTTTTGATTCTGATGTTTGAATCGAAATAATACAGAATTATTTTGATTTAAATTTCTCAATTAAAACAAACCAAAATCGACTTTTGATTCTGCTTTTAGAATCAAAGATATATCTGCTATAAACAAAACAAAATTTATTTTTGAATCATAAGCAAACAGAATTCAATTTTGATTCAAATTTTTGAAACAAAACTAGCAATATTCTTTATTTTGGTTCATATGGTCTGAATCAAAACAAATGTTCTTGAATTTTGTTTTTATTCTGTCTGCAAAAGTAAATTGAATTTTGATTCTAATTTAGGAATCGAGACGTAACCAGAATTTTCACTGCTGATTCCAAAATTAGATTCAAAGCCAAAACACTTTTGATTCAGATATTCTTATTCAAAACAAAACAAATTTGACTTTCGATTCTGATTTCAAAATCAAAGCAAACAGAATTCATTATTTTTATTTCGTTACTTCTTTATGAATCAAAACAAAACTGTTTTGGAAGTTTTTTCGACTCTTGTCGACTTCTAATTCTTCTTTTGGAATAAAACATTAACAGAATTCAGTTAAAATTCAAAAATCAAAATTAAAACCAAATTTTTGAAACGAAAACAGAGTTTTTATTCTTCTAATTTTAAGGACTTACTCGACAAAACAAATTGTAATTTTGTTTCTTTTCACAGATTTTCCAAAATTCCTAACAGATTGTCAGTTAAAAAAAATATCTGATGTTTCAGTAGATTTTTTTAACTGATTCCATTAGTGAAGTTTAACTAATTTTTCAGTAACTTTTTTTTTTACTAAAAATTAGTCATTTTCTCATTGAAAATCAGTTATTTTTAACTGATTCATAAGCAAAAAGCTAGTCACTGATTCAGGGCTGACAAAAATCATGATTTAAAAACAAAGTCAAAACAATCCAATTGTTATTTAAATCGTATTTTTTTTATTTAAATCATTTTTTTGTACTATTTTTTAAATATTTATTTTTAAGTAGTTCGTTTTTTAATATTAAAAATTATAAAATTAATAATAATAGGGTGGCTGCAAAATTTCATTTTCAGAATCCCTGACTTTTTCTGACTAATTTTTCATTTTCCCTGATTAACAAACTTTTAAATTATTTTATATTCTGCATGGCTAATTAAAAATTTTATAATGCTTTTTAAGTAACAATTTTATTTAAATAAAGAAAAACATAAGATAATTAAAAATTAATTGTTAAAAAAAAAATTTTTAACTGATTCAAATTTAGAGAGACCACATTGAAATATTACAAAAATATAACTATAGTAAAACTAATTTTGCTGGTCCAAGTTTTTTAAAAGCTTATTGTAATTTTTTGCTATTAATGTTTAGAGGAATAAAAAATTTATTGTAAATAAAATATTTAAAGATGACTCTAAAGAATATTATTATAAAACAAGAAGAATTCAATCACTCCGAGTTCACAATTTTAATAATTTATTAAAATATTTGAAAATAATTAAATTTTGGAAAAGAATTTTATTATTGAATTTCTGCGAAGAAGAATTTTATTAAAATTATTTTGAAAGAAATTGAATTGTTACAAAGAATTTCATTAAAATTTTTGAAAATAATTGAATTCTATAGGTAAAGAAATTTAATTAAAAATGTTTTAGTTTTTAACTAAAATTCTTCTGTAATACCATTATTTTTAATAATTAATTAAATATTATATATTTTAAAATTCAACTAATTTCAGAAAAATTTGAATTATTAAAATTTTTCAAAAATCTCAGTTCTTTAAAATTTCTAATAAAATCCATTAAAAATTGAAATTTTCTAATATTTCAAATTAAATCCTTTTGAAGTTCTCTTTTAAAAATTCAATCAATTTTGAAATATTGAAGTAAAATTGAGGGTCCCTATCAAAGAACCGGTTATAAGTTTTTTAAGCTCGAAATCATTGCCCTGTAAATAAAAAATTAAACTGTTTTTAATCACAATTTTTTGAGAAACATTTAGGTAATCTTTAAACCAATACAAAATGTTTTTAAGAAATTAAAGTTTTAAATCCTTTTTTTATTTAGAGGTCGAGAATTTTGAGTCTCAAAAACTTATAACCGGTTCTTTGATAGGGACCCTCAATTATTCATTAAATAATTTCTAAGTAATAATTTTATGATATAGTTCTTCAAGAATTAAGTTATTTAAAAAGATAAATTATTGTCAGAAATAAAAGAAATTGAAGGTGTTGTATTAGAATTCGTGGTAATTTCATAGTTTGTTGAAACAAACAAAGAAAACACCAAAATTCAGAATTTTTATTTATTCTAAAAATTAATTTTTTTCCAGTACTTTTAATAAAAATCCCTGACTTTTCCCTAAATTCCCTGACCTGTATGGCAACTCTGTAATAGTATAAGTTAGCGAGTTATCAATCTGTAAATCAGAACAAAACTTGAAAAATTTTGGAATCAAAACAAAAAGAATGAGTATATTTTGGTTCCTAAAATTCTTTTCGAAACAAAAGCATTGTTGAATTTGGTTTTGCCTCCATTTGAAAAGATGATTTTAAATTCTACAATTTTTTTTATCAAAGCAAACAGAATTTACAAAAACTGCAAGAAGAAGCATCTTAAAATACATTTGTAGTAACTTTTAACACTTGATAATTTTAAAGTAATTTGTCATAATTAATTTTAAAAATATTTAAACTTTTGCACATCACTGCGACCTTCTTTATTGTATTTTAGACTTTCGTACAAAATTTCGGCTCAATTTATTAAATATTGGTTGTCGAAAAAATTTACCATTGAGAACCTAACAATCACATGCTGTTAAAACGTTTAAAACAACTTAATTTTTCATCTTCTGTTTTAGAAGTTAATGCATTTTAAGATACTTATTGTGCCTTTTTGGAAACAACTTAAAAGTTACTACCAAGTATCTTAAAATGAGATTCCTCTTTTTTCAGTAAAACGGATATTCATTTTCGAACCAAGTTTTTAAACGTTTTCCCCTAATTTCAACTAAAGTAAAATCTGTCCATAATCTAAAATAGTAAGAGCGCTAGTTTCAATTTGGAATGAATCGCAACTAAATCTACAAACAATCATCTGAATTCATCACAACGGACTATCAATTCAATGAACAAAATTTAGAACTTCCAAATCACCCTCATCATCCATAGAGAATTTATCCTCAACAAAACAATTTACATTAAGGCAAATGACCTATCAATGTATAGATGTTGCAAACTTATTTTATGACTCATTATCGTTCAAAGGACCCTATATACCACAATTGCAACTATAGAGCTATACACAAACATCGATATACAACATTAAGTTTTAAAACTATTATCGGCCGTATAATCAAGGGGGTCAATTTCCGGGAGGGGGGCAATGGCCCCCTTTAGCTCCCTTGGGCAATATCTATATCTATATCTATATATATACATATATATATTGTTGCCAAGGCAGTGGCGCCTCCAAGAGGTGGTGTCCGCAAAGTGTCACAGCGCAATGCTCATGCGCAAAGGCATTGTATGTCCCGCCTGCTGAGTGCGGACGTACCGAAATAAATCGAACAACGCTGTGAGCGATCAGCAGTACGGTGCTTGCTGAATGCGACAGCTTCGTGTTTAGGCATGATTAAAACGAGTTGTTGCTTTTCGTGGCATTGCGCGAAAAGGAAACCGTGATACGTGCTGAAAGACTGGACAACAGCTCAACACAACTTGACGTTGCTCGCTGCCGAAGTTACGGATGCATATGGAGGTGCGTAATACCCCATTTCAATGTTTTTTTTTTTTTCTTTACCACTTTTTTTGTTTTCGCTAACACACGCGTCTTTGTTACTTGACAACAAGGCGACTGAGAGTGAGAAAGAGCCATTTTGCCCTACTACAAAAACAAAATCCCACCGTCTTTTTAAACAACAGTTTTATCAATGTTGCATTTTAATTGCAAAGAAATTACAGAAGGGAAATAATCCCCAACACATGAAAATTCAAAATCATCCATTGAAATACTCTGACAGTTCACTGTTTTGACGAAACAATGCCAAATCTTCTCAGCGGGAGACAATGACTAACTACGCAATTCCTATTTTTTAGAATTTTTCTCCAAAGTGATTACACAATAAAAGTGCATCGAAATATGGAAAATATTCAAACACTACCAAGTGGGGGGGAGTTTTGTATACAATAACAGCTGATATACACTTGTCATTAAAGTCTCATTTTTTTTGGAATATTGTTTTGATACCCATTTTTTTAGTAAATGGAACACACTTGTTATGTATTTACTGGAAAATTTCCAGTGCCTTTTATATACAACATTCAATTGAAGTTAATGTCAATTCGACTTTTGTGTTGTACTTCAATGAGGTCGGGCATTCTGTACAGTGTCTGATCTCGTTACTCCACATTGAAACGGCAATGTCAAAAGAGACGTGCCCTCGTTTATTTATTTTTACTTGCCCTAGGACTTATTTCATCGTTCATCTCTTTCTCTCTTTGTCTCTCTCTCTCTCGAAACTACTACAAAAATCGTATTCATCACAAAGGGAATCAATTTTTTTTTTTCAAAAATTATTTCCAATATGGGAAAATCGAGTTTTGTGTTGGCGGATGTTTACGTTTAAGCGCCGCGACACGCATTTCGACGGTAAGACGCGCATTTCTGTTTTGTATACATTCACAGCTGACTTCCAACAACCAAGAGAGAAGTCTATCTTTCCATTCACGGAATTCTCACTCAGCGCGAACTAAATTCATGAACATAATAACAGGGATCAGAGTCGTTTTTTCATGTACAGGGTTGTCGAGAAAATTTTATTTTGTTTTTCCCAGAACTTTTCCCTAATTTCCAGGCAATATTTTGACAATTTTCCCTATGGCCCTAAAGAATATTCTGATTCACTCTCAAATTCACTCTAAAAATTTTTAGATACTCAAACAAATGTTCTATTACATTTATTTACAAAGTTCTTTAAATAAGGGTCCCAATCAAAGAACCGGCTATAATTTTTTTAAGCTCAAAATCATTGCCCTGTAAGACAAAAATTAAACTGTTTTTAATCACAATTTTTTGAGAAACAATTTGGTAAACTTTATAGAAATTTATACGAAATGTTTTCAAGAAATTGAAATTTTAAAACCTTTTTTTATTTAGAAGTCGAGAATTTTGAGTCTCGAAAACTTAAAACCGGTTCTTTGATTGGGAACCCTTAATTGTAAAATTATTCAAAAACATTAATAAATTCTTTTTCAAATAAATATTAAATTATTATTATTTTTCCATAAGATTTAAGATTTTCAAAAAATTCAAATTCGAACCTTTTTCAAATTCAACAACTAATAAGAATATTTATTATAAAACAAGAAGATGTCAATCACTCCCGAGTCTTCGACTCGGAGTGATCGACTTCTTCATGTTTGATAATAATTAAAAATGACCGAATAATAAAATCATTATCTTATATTATAAGATATAAAATAATTTCAAAAACAAATTCAATTAAACTTTTTCAAAAAATTAAATTAGTTAATTCTGCAGAATTGTTAGTTAAAAAGTTCTAAGATTTTAATTTGTAACTATTTTAGAATTCCATTAATTTTGAAATATTTTAGTAAAATTATTCAATAAATTTTCAAAAAATAATGCAGCTTTTTCAAATCCTTTAAGAAAATTTTTTTTAAGAATTAAATTTTTTTTATAAGTATAATAAAATTTTGCGAAAAAATTTATTTATTTAAAAAGATTTTTTATAGAATTGTTCGCAAGAATTCAATTATTTTTATAAATAATAAAATTCCTCTCAGGGATTCAATTATTTTTAAAAATTTTAATAAAATTCGTTGCAAAAATTCAATTATTTTCAATAAAAAATTAAAATGAATTCCTTGAAAAAAAATTCAATTAAAAAAAACCTTATTAAAATTCTTTTAAAAATTCAATTATTTTCAAATATTTTAAGAAAAATTTTTTCAAGAATTAAATTCTTTTCATAAATATCATAAACTTTTTCAAAAAAAAATCAATTATTTAAAGATATTTTAATAAAATTCGTTGCAAGAATTCAATTATTTGAGTAAGTTCAAATATTTTAAGAAAAATTTTTCAAGAATTCAATTCTGTTTATAAGTAATGAAATTTTTCGGAAAAATTCAATTATTTTCATTACTAATAAAATTTTGAGAAAAATTAAATTGTTTAAAATAGAATTTTCATAAAATTTTTCGAAAAAATCAATTATTTAAAAAGATTTTTATAAAATTCTTCGCAAGAATTCAATTATTTTCATAAATAATTGAAATGTATGAAAAAAAATTCAATTATTCTTGAAAATTTTATTAAAATTCTTCGAAAGATTCAATTATTTCCAAATATTTTAAAAAAAAATTTTTTCAAGAATTCAATTCTGTTTATAAATAATGAAATATTTCCGAAAAATTCAATTATTTTCATGGTCAAAAACAATTTTGAGAAAAATTAAATTATTTAAAATCCAATTTTCATAAAATTTTTCAAAAAAAATGAATTATTTAAAATGATTTTTATAAAATTCTTCGCAAGAATTCAATTATTTTTATAAAAATAATAAAATTTCTCTCAGAAATTTAATTATTTTTAAAAATTTTAATGAAATTCGTTGCAGAATTCAATTATTTTTTTAAATAATTATTAAAATGAATTCCTCGAAAAAAATGCAATTATTCTTGAAAACTTTATTAAAATTCTTCGAAAGAATTGACTAATTTCAAAAAAAATTTTAATGTTATTTGTTTATTAGAATTTAATAATTATTTTCAATACATTTGTAATTAAATTTTTTAAAAGAATTTAATTATTTTCAAAAATTATAGTGATAATTTTTAGAAATAATAAAATTTCAAAACGTTTTTAAATTGAAGTCTTTGAAAATTTTTTGATATTCTTGAATTGTAATAATATTAAAATTTTTATTTTGTTTAAATTATTAATTTTATATTTTTCTAAAAAGTTTTTAAATTTTGAAAAAAATTCATTTAAAAATTAAACAAAAAAGATTAAATTTTGGAAGAACAAGAACTTTTATTACATTAGCAAAAGTTTTAGTTGTTTCAGTCAGGACTTTTGTTATTCTAGAGAAACTTATCGCTGTTCCAGGTGAATCTTTGTTTACGTGAATATTCTAAAATATGATTTAAATTTAATTTGAGAATAAATTTTTTTTATTGTAATCGAAAAAATAGGTTTTTTTATATTCATATTTAGAGTGTTATTTTTAGAAAATTTGTTTTCTAAATTATACACTCGCACTTATAGATAATAAAATAATGATAAATTCATTATATTGATGACAAAAAAGAGGCCCTGGCTCTTTTCTATCAATAATGAAAAAATATAAATAGAAGAAATTTTCTTTATCAATATTTTTCTATTGATTCAAAAAATATATGCCTTTGCAGACTTTATATAGCTAATACTTTGACAAATTTATTCTTTATTATGCCATATGTTTCTGAGTCAATAATTTTTATTCTTTTTCGGAGAAATTTTAAACATGTAATTTTCTTATTTCTCTGTTTGAGGGAAAATACATGAATGAATATAATTTTCATTTGCGGGAAAAAATATTATAGAAAAAAATTCAAACATTTAAAAACAAGTATACAAGTTGAATTTAAAAGCATTTTGATGTACATTAATCATGTTTTTTTTATGCTATCTCAATAGAAAAATAAAGAATCGGTGAGTTTCGAATCATTAAATATTGATTTTCAGTGAATCATTTTTATGAATGATATTTGAATTTATCTTTGAGAAGATATGATTCATTAAGTAGGTGAAAAACAATGTTTTCGGTTGGAAAATGATACAAAATAAAAATAATAAAGTTTTTGTTAATTTAAAGAAATCATCGCTTTATTTCATTCAAAAAATAATTTTTTCTTTCAAACAAAAAGAGAGTTTTTTAATTAAACAATTTTTCTTTGATTTAGTCAAATTTTCTTTGAATTCAACAATTTATTTTTAATCGAAGAAACATCAATAATGATTTCTTTAAATCAACAAAAAATTTTTTCTATGTGTGGAAGTATAAAATAAGGATAATTATAATTGTTTGATCTTAGAAAATATTTTTATAAATTAATTTATTTTTTTATTTTCTAGACTCAAAAAGAAAAAATACTCACGACTTTCGTTATTGTTTGATCCGAGTTATATTTTACAATATTAGAAAAAAATATTGATTTAATGTTTTAAATGACATTTTGTTTTTAAAACATGTTGATGTTTATAAAATAACAAATAAGAACAAAAATAGAAAAATAATTCGCTTGGTGAGGAAAAATTGATTGAATTTTAAATACAAAAGGAGTGTTGTAAATAAAAAATTTTGACATAAACTTTTAAAAAATTGCAGGATAGAAAGGTTAAAAGAAAATCTGCTGAACAAGTTAACAGAAAAAATTGAAAATATGTTCAAAGAAAAGTCATAATTTTAATAGAAGAGATGTAATTAAAAGAAGTGAATATTTTTTAAATAATGTACATAAGTACACTGTAGAGAAAAATTTTATTTAAATCAAATATTTATTTTTCTATTTAAATAAAATGATATTTTCCTAATGTAATTAAAGTTCTTGTTCTTCCAAAATTTAATCTTTTTTTTTTAATTTGTAAATGAATTTTTTCAAACTTTTAAAACTTTTTAGAAAAATATAAAATTAATAATTTTAACAAAATAAACATTTTAATATTATTACAATTCAAGAATATCAAAAATT